GGATGTCTTACCTCCTACATCCAGGTCCACCTTGAAGTGAGCGCTGTGGGTGTGGGCGGTGCCCAGCGTGTGCTGCCCAACCTGGTTCCCATACCTTCGGGCAGCACCAAAGAGGAACACTGAGCTGATGTAGCCCGTGGCATGGAATTTGACTTCTATGGCCCCATTGGAGTGGAAGACCATATCCCACACATAGTCATAATTGAGCATGGTAGACACAGATCTGACAACCAGCACTGTCTCTGTAAGGCCCCCAAAATAGTGGGAGTAAACATCTGAGTGGTGTCGCCTCAAGGGGAAGCCCTGGTTCTGTTCAAACACACAAAAGGCATCTCGTATTGTCTTGGGGGCTTGGGACTCCAAAAGGAAGTGCCAGTCCATGTAGGTGGCCATGTAGGGGCAGTCCACCCCATGGGTCAGGGGTGAAGCGTACTTGCCCAAGCCAAAGCCACCATCGATATAGCGGGTCAGCATTGCTGAGGGAGTATTTCCACCATAGATGGTCAAGGCCTCTTGGAGGCTGATTTCATAGGCTAGTCGTTCTCCCTGGAAGCGGATGTCAAAGACCCTCGGGCCACTGAAAGCTCCAAGGCCAAAGGAAAAAGTCCACAACGAGGAGGCCACTTGACTCCCCTGGACACTGAAGCGGGGACCCTGCGGATAGAACTGCAGAGGCGGAGCCGGACCTGGGGGCACCGGGGACTTCAGGGACCAGGACCCACCTGTGCCATTGTTTGGGATCAGCACCACATTCACCAGGCCGGCTTCAAACTGGTCCTCCAGCTGGGCCAGGCTCTCATAGTAGCGTCCTTGGAAGAACACCTTCCGGATGGTCCAGCGGGCAGGGTCCAGAGCCTTGTGGTCTACCAGCAGCTCCAGCCCCACGGGGTGCAGGTAAAACCCAGCCCCTGAGATGTTGTAGTAGAGGCCAAACCAGGTGGCTCGGTCTCCTGATTGCAAACCTCGGGGGGCTGTGTTCATCGTTACGAGGTTCCTTCCTTGGCGTTGGTAGAAGCAGCAATGGTGGAGAAGACCAGTAGCCTGGGGCAGCTCTCTGCTGAAGATCATCTGGTCTATGTCCAGGTATTCTCGGATCAGCACGGGGCGTCGGTGATAAGGCAGGGGGCCCCCGTGACGCTCCACGGTCACATCCCGAATGTAGGAGGGGTGCGGAAGTGGCCCCACCACCAGCTCACTCACGTTGGGCTGGGGCTGTCCACCAAAAAAGACGATGGCCAATGCCTCCCGAGGAGGCGGAGGGCGCCCCCGGTCCAGGTGGGCCAGGGCTGCAGCCTTGGGGGGCAGCTGCAGCTCCACCGAGAAGACGCAGTTGTCAGAGGGGCGGGCCTGGGCTGCATCGACAAAGCCTGACCCCAGCTGCTGGGTCAGAAAGCTCATCACGGCCGTCAGCTCCTCTTGGTTCAGGTCTGCAAATAGCTGGCTCTGGTCAGGGTGTGTCCAGGGCTGGGCACTGGGAGATATGGAGGGGCAGTGGGGAGGTTGGCCAGGTTTACTTTCCCTCTCAACTCCTTCCTCACTCCCAGTCCCACCATCACCCATGCCTGTCGCCAGAACACTACACAGGGACAAAATAATGAAGACAGTCATAGCTAAAGCTTCTGGGCCGTCTTCAGGCTATTGATTTGGAACACAGAATGAGAGCTAGAAGGATAAATAGACAGGACCTGGGTGCAGGATGCCTCTTACAGCCTCTGGAGATTCCTGGTCTCTGGTTGGTGCTGCTGGGCCAGAGCCATGATGGGTACATTGAAGACAATCAGCCAAGGACAGAGGGTTGGGTGGGGGTGGAGCTGAAGCTGGAGGGAGCCAGGTTAGGCCAGGCTCAGGAGGTGGGGCTGAGGCAGAAACCTGGACGTTAAGTGGCCCACGTAATCCTTTGTCAGCCTGTTCCAAATCAAACACTCAGGGTCAGGGTTGGGGAACTAAGTGGGGGAGGGGTTGGTTTTGGAGATAACACAGCTGGAGGGAGGCAAGACGGAGAAGTGACAAGGGCAAAAAGAGACTATTCTTGGGCTCTTCCTCTACCCTTCAGGTTGAACCTTTCTCCTGGCTACAAGGCTGCAAGTGAAACTCACCTGTCCACACCTCTCCACCCAGATTCCCTCCTTCCTTCCTCTAGTTTGTGGTGCCCTCCAGGATCTGTTCCTCGGCATTCTCTCCTGCTCCCCCTATCAACCAGAACCCTACCAGCAGTCCCAGGGATCCTTGAGAGTAATACTGAGAACACAAAACACCCAAAGGGCTGAGCCAGGTCCACACTGTGGAGGCCCTGAGCACCCTAGGTCACTGGAGCATGCAGGGTGTGGGGCTCGTCAGAAATTGGAGGGGTGCAGGGACTGCAGAGTGTAACAGAGACCCCTCTACCACCACCACCTTGAGCAGGACTGATGGTCCAGGTCAGAGGTTAGGGGACCTGGAAAACTGGCTGTGAAATTAACCTAGCAGCCCACAACCCTCAAGTCCAGGAAAGCCTCCTCCAAAATGTTGCAGAGGCAGAGAGCAAAGCCGCCTCCAATCTCTACCAGGTGATGTGCAGGAAGCCACCATGATCTGGGCAGCCAGGTCCTGAGGAGAACTAAAAGAGACGAAAGGTTCCAGAGAGGGGACATGCTTCTCTCGTGAGCCTGAGGGAGAATCCTTTCCAAGCTGGATATGTCCAGGAAGACTTCCCCAGGAACAGAAGTTATTCAGACCTTGCAGACAGAAAGCATTCTGCTGGCAGAGAACAGGAAGGCATTCCAGCTAAAGAGAACAGAAGGTACAGAAACTTGAGACAGCCTCAGCATGGGGATGGCCAAAAGGTCAGTGTATTCAGTGTGATGTGGGGGCAGGAAGGAGGGCAGGCAGGAGAACTAAGGTCAGGAAGCCTTGTGTAGTCTGTGTTTTAAGCAAGGTATTAATAGTAGTAATTCAAGGAAGACAGTGTGACATCTCACAACCTGGACAAATTAAACCAGGTCAACTAATCCCAGAAAGGTCAGGTTATCCAGAAATATTTATGCAACCAGCTCTATTTGGATAAGAAAACTCAGCAGGTTTTCTTCTCTCTTGTTCTTTAGCTGCTTGTTGAAGGAGTTAATGGGGCTTGTTCCAAGGTGGTGAGAAAGGCAGGGACCCTTTTCCCCAAGATGGAATTTAAACAAAATAACACTCCCTCTCCAGGGAGGTCAGCCCTTCCTGTCCTCAGGGGAAAACAGGAACTGTCTTAGCTTTGGCTGATCTGGTTTTCATGCTCTGCAGATGCTCTTCATAGAGAACAGTATTTTCAATCTTTTTCATTAAAAAAATAAAAGTTTCGGCCGGCAGAGTGGCTCAGTTGGTTAAGAGCTTGCTTAAGAGCATGAGCTCTGAGCAACAGGGCTGCTGGTTCGATTCCCACATGGGCCAGTGAGCTGCGCCCGAGCTGAGTTGCCGCTGAGCTGCCAAATGGCTCAGCTGGTGAGAGCACGTGCTTCTAATGACAAGATTGCCTGTTCGATGGTGGGCTACACCCACCCGTGGCTGGGACTGAACTCAGCACCTTGAGCTGATCTGCCGCCCAGATGGCTCAGTGGATAGAGCGTGCGCTCTTAACATCAAGGTTGCCAGTTCTACTCCCGCATGAAAAAATAAAATAAAATAAAAAGGGCCTGCCAAGTGGCTCATTGGTTAAGAGTTGGCTTGAGAGTGCGAGCTCTGAGCAGCAGGGTTGCCGGTTCGGATCCCACATGGGCCAGTGACACTGTGTCATCCACAGCTAAGATTGTGAACAACAGCTCAACCTGGAGCTGGGCTGCCATGAGTCGCCGGCAACTGCATAGGCTGCAATGGGCTGCCGTAAGCTACCATGAGTGGCCAGCAGCCAGAGTGAGCTGCCAAGAGCTGCCGTGAGTGGCCGTCCAATGGCTGGCAACAAATCTGCCTCAGCCATGAAGAGCGCAATGATCACAATACCAACATGGGCCAGTGAAGCGACGTCCTCCACAACTAGACTGAAGAACAAAAGGACAGCAACTTGTCTGTTCCCCTTCCTTGACTCCCCAACACTGTTCCCTCCCCCAATTCCCCAATAAAATCTTTAAAAAAAAAAGTTTAAAAAACATTTGGTGAACTTGGGCCAGCCGAGTGGCTCGTTGGTTAAGAACTGGCTTGGAAGTGCAAGATCTGAGCAGCAGGGCCACCGGTTCAGATCCCACATGGGCAGTGATGCTGCGCCCTCTACAGCTAAGATGGTGAACAACAGCTCGACCTGGAGCTGGGCTACTGTGTGTCACCAGCAACAGCGTAGGTTGCAGTGGGGCTGCAGTGGGCTGCCGTGAGCTACCGTGAGTGGCCGGCAGCCGGCGTGAGCGGCTGTCCAATGGCCGGTGAGCGACTGCATCACCCAGGATAATACCAACATGGGCCAGTGAACCAGTGAAGCGACGACCTCCACAACTAGACTGAAGAACAAAAAGACAGCAACTTGTCTGTTCCCCTTCCCCAATTCCCCAATAAAATCTTTTTAAAAAAAATTAAAAAAACATTTGGTGAACAGACAGGAGAGAATGGGGCTTATGCACTAGGAGAAAGTGGGTGTGGGTCAAACCCTCCTCCCATCCCTGCCTTGGTAAGTCTGGTCTCAGAGCAGCAGAAAGTGAGCATAATAGCAGTGACTGCTGTCAACTGAAGACTAGCCAAACATCCCCTCCAAAGTCCCAGACTACAGAGTTTTACCTAATCCTAAAAATGAGCACCCTCTCCCTGCACAAACATGCCCATAATTGAATTTCCTGCCAACCAGGTGAGTGAGGGCACAGAGCTGGTTATCTCTTATAGAAAAATAAAGAAACACAACATTTAATATCTACCCATGAGTGCTGGGAGTAAAATTCACACCCAATAGTTCCATTGACTGAGCAGTAAGATGGAAAGGAGGCACTGGAGAGCTTCTTGCAGTCAAGACAAACAATAGCACTGCTATAACTAAGGCAGGAAGGGGTCACTGGAAATGGGCCGTGTGACCTTGAGAATAAGGGTGAACAGAATCTTAATGTCAAGGCCTACTCTTGGCCACAAGGCAACTATGAGCCTGGGCCTTTGGTAAATTACATTCTTAGCTCCCAGCTAAGAACACACCATTAAGATGGTTAATGTTTTTTTTGTCCTGAGCAGTGTTACCAAGCAGAAATCAAGAATATTCACTCTGCTGGGGTATCACCAGGCTCTCCTATGGGGAGGTGAGTAATGATCCAGGTAGGGGAGGGCCCTTTGCCTTGACTGGTGAGGGAACTGGTAAATAAAAAGACGTCACCCTGACCACCTTCCCTGAGTGTCTTGCTGTCACATTTGCTCTGATATTGTTTCATCCTAGTCTTCACAATCATCCCATTAAATACCCTAAAATCTTGCTTAAAAGTTGTCCCTTTTTGAGAATTACTCAGGAGACAGGACCACACATTCTGCTCCCCCCACTAGGTCTTTTTTCCCTTTGAATCAACTTGGCCCCAGCCTCTGGGAATATATAAAGATGAGTTTATCCCTGGGAGCAAAGTCCACGCCTAGCCCTCAGGCTGAGGACTGGGCCCGGAACACTGTGCCTCAGTAGAGCTGCTGCCCCACCTGTCCTGTGCAGTCAGCTCGACCACCTTGCACACCATGCCACATTCTGCTCTGATCTGCATTCTAGGGAGATGGCTCTAGCTTGAGTAGGGGAACAGGCTAGAGGTGAGAGGACCAGGCAGGAGGCAAAGGGCCAGGATGAGGCCAGTGATCTGGAGGACAGAGAGGAAGGAATGATTCTGACAAATGTTTAAGGGTAGATTTGACAGGACTTTGTGCCCAGTTGGGTGTGGGTGGGTAGAGAGGCCACAGTGTCTTACCTGACACAAAGCTTTCCTGTTGGGTGACTGGATGGGTGGTGGGTCCTTTCACTAGAAGGACATACATGAAGAGCAGGAAGTTTTTTGTTTGTTTGTTTGTTTGTTTTTTAACATATCAAAATTTTATTGTCTTCATGATAAAAATATGAAGCTTAGAACTGGATCACTTGGCCCTTTCTCTTCTTATCTCCTCCCAGTTCAAAATGCTTGCATCTCTTAATGGCCAGCATCCTCTTGGATCTGCAGTTAGGCTCAACACATTCAAGCCTCAGGACAATCTTCTTTGTAGTTTTAGCCTTTTTGCGGAAAATTGGCTTAGTCTGCCCACCATAACCACTCTGCTTCCTGTCATAACGCCGCTTCCCCTGTGCATACAGAGAATCCTTGCCCTTCTTGTACTGTGTCACTTTGTGGGGCTGGTGCTTGCCACACTTCTTACAGAAAGTCCGGCGGGTTTTAGGAACGTTCACCATGTTCGCGAGAGTGCTATCCGCGCGGAAAGCAAGAGCAGGAAGTTTAAGGGGGAAACTAACAAGTTTGAGTTTGAAGTGCTAATGAGAAGCCCTCATATAGATGCCTAGAAAAAGGGCAATTTGCTCTGTGGGTCTAGAGTGTAGGAGAGATGTTCAAGGCTAGAAATACGGATGTGCGTTCAACAACAAATATTAGCAGTTGAAGTACGAGAGTATGAGGTCAGCCAGGGGGGAACCTCTGGAGAGAGAAGAGGAGAGGGTCAAGGACAGAGTCCTGGAAAATGCCAAGTTTTGAGGCTAAGTGGGCTGGTGGGCAGAGCAGAAGTAAAGGGGTCAGCATAGAAGACTGAGGAGCAGCAAATACAGATGAGGAGGGGTCCAAACGTGGGGAAGTGGAGACAGCAGAGTTTCAAGAAGGGAGCTGTCCATGTTGTCGAATGCCATTGAGGGGTCCAGGAAGTAGGCAGCTGGAAAGGCCTATTGATTTTGCATTTAGAAGTCACTGGTGACGTCTGTCAGAGCAGTGTCTGTGGCTCCAGGGTCAGCAGAGGGAGGGCATTGGGTTGAGGAGTGGCTGGGGGAGGGCAGGAAGAAGACCCAGGACCTGTGGAACATGCTTTGGAGGAAGGCTGAGAGAAGACCACCACTCAGGAGATGCAGGGTCCTGGAAAAGCTTAAAAAGATGAGAAATGAGAGGAAGAGCCAGTCAAGAGGGAGCGATTATAAATACAGGGAGAAGAGTGGATGACTGAAAGAGAATCTTCTGGGAGGAGCTGGAAAGGGTGAGGGTCCCCTTAAACAGGTAAGGAGGTTATAGAATTAATAAGCCTATTCTCACCACCAAACTTGGTCAAAGAAGCTGTCAGAAGGGCTTCAGACACCTTTTCTGTTGTTGTTTTTTAAGGGGGGGTTAACTTTATTCCAAACCCACTATACACTGTATGACTATTACAAGGATAATTTAAGCAATTAACATGTAACCACATTAACTACAGAGGTGACCGGTTGTTGGGTGGGATTGACTTTAATCTGCAACTGACTTTCCCAAATGATCTCTTAAGTGTTCAGTGAATATAATGCTCTTCCATTCATGAGGTCATAGGCTGCACTGAGGCCAAACAGGCCTCCCTGGGCCAGATTTTCCACAGTCCTCCTGAAGGCCACACCATGCATTCAGGCCACAATCATTTCTTACCTCTGAGCCACCTCCCTGTGACTAAGCCTTCTGTAAACTCTATTCTTCACATCTGGGCCAGAATGTCCTAAAGAAATGTCCTAAAATCTGACTTTGTCACTCTCTTGCTTAAAATCCTTCTATGGCTCCCCATTTTTTGTAGAGTAACCAACCTTGCTTGCAAGGACCTGTCTCCTCTGTCCCCTCCTTGTTCCTCCAGACTCTCCTCACAGCCCTCCCTTCTGTCCATGAACTTGGATTCTGGGATGGTGCTACCTTGTCACCTTCCTGGCCTTTGAACATGCTCTTCTCTTTACCTGGAACATTCTTTCCACTCTTCTTTCTCCCCCAGCTTACTTCTACTCCTCCGCCAGGATCAGTTTAGACATCAGATCCCTTAGGAAGCCTTCCCCAACTCCTAAGTCTGGGTGAGGAACCCCTGCTGTTGTCTTCTTTCCACCTCCCCTCTAACGGTCCTTGTCTGTAATTGCCCCTTTACTTGCTTCTCTTGCTCCTGAGGGCAGAAATTGTATCTCTTATTCACTAATATATCCTAGTGCCTCAAATGTTGCCTGAAGGCTCTCCATAACTTTGTTGAATGCATGGAGGAATCCTTCTCTTGCACTCTGAGCTGGAACCCTCCCCAGGGGCTTCTGGACAGCAGAGGCAGGTGAGCACATCTTGTGCTCCTCACAGGGGCTTCTGGTGTCTACATTCCTGGGGAAGTCCCAGTTATGCCCTCTGACCTAAGCCTGAGGGGTCCCCTTGTCCAGCTCCTCTTAGGTCAATGGGCCCAAGTACTTTGGGGACACTAGTTCTTTCAGAACCTGACATCCTCAGTCATTACTCACTCTTATCACTTGACAACAAGTCTGAGGCCAACATTCTAGACAGCCTCAGTGGGTTGGGGCTCTGGGGTATTACTCTGGGGTCAAAGGCCATGTCCTCAGCCCATACCCAGTTCTTCAGTCCTGCCAAGGTGGAGGATGGGGTGGGAGAGGGCAGGAGGGAAGACTGGTCATGTAGACCTCCTGACCCTAGCTGGGCTGACAATCCCACCATCTATTTTCCACTGAGGCCTGAGGCAGGTCATATCATTCCTATGGTGAGATGTAAAAAGACAAACCACAGTTGCATTTACACACGCACCCCCTCCCCCAACATACAAACACTCATACCTTTGGGTGGAGATGGGTTTCAAAATAACGGGCCTGAAGTTAGTAAGATGGGGTATGAGGAGGGGAAGACACCAGTGTTCCTTTCTTCCTTTCTTCCATCATTGAACATTGGGCAACTAATCATAAGAAGGAGCCATAGGAGGTAGAAACAGAAGGATACGCATTTAAAGGAGAAGTTAAGTTACTCAGGTCAGAGGAAGAGGGAGCATGAAGTCAGTATCAGAGCCTCATCTGGCCAGCACATGCCTTTTTCTCTCCCATCGCAGTTTTCAGTCTCCCTTGTCCTCCATCTCTTTCTGTCCTCTGTCACTCTTGCTTCCACTCTGGGCTGTGTTAAAAATTAATCCAGCCATCATTGTCCCTCCGCCCTTTACTGAAGTCTTTCTCTCTGTTCTTTGGAACCTATTTTCTCTCCAGCTCACTGACTCCTCTCCATCCACTGTTCCATTGACCCAGAGGTGAACTTGGGCTTGGGACCTCACACCGCTGGATAGAAGGTAGCAGAAGCTGATGTCTGAGCTCCCTGGATAGAATTCCTTCTGGTCATAAGATAAGCAGCATCCAAAATCCATTTCCTGCACTTCACCTCCTGGCCTGGGCTGAGCTTCCAGTAGGCAGAAGCTATTCCTCCCCATTGCTTCTCATCACCCCCTCTTCTAAGAGAGACAGAGAGCGAAAGTGAGCGAGAGAACAAGAGAGATTGACTGAGGTTTATCATTTTCTTCAGAGGTACACAAGCAAGAGAAGGCAAAGGAGTTACCAGAGGCCATGCCCATTTCTCTGTGTCAAAAACTTGAGCCATCTGAGTCCCTGGGCCTATCCCTTAAGTCATTTTACGCTCCCCTATCCCCAACCAGATGTCAGTTAGAAAAAGAAAAAAAGTCAAGTCCTGTTTGGGCCCATTTATTATTTAATTTGAATAGGCAATACAGTCACATGGTTCAAAACTCAAAATGTACAAAAGGGTATACAGTGCTAAGTCCCCTCCCTCCCCTGTCCCCCACCTCCTGGTTCCCTCCCCAGAGGCTACCAGTGTTACCCGGTTCTCCTGAATATGCATATATAAGCAAACAGAGAGGTGCCAACAAAAAAATGCATACACATTTTAAGAAACGAAAAAACTACTAAAATTGTAATATTCAATCTATACCGATAACAAAAGATGAATACAAGTCACGTTTGACTTCTGTAATTACAAGAGGTGCTGAAAGTGGTTACCATCAGACACTTCTGATTATAACGAACTACTGCTTGAGCAACGTTGTCCAAAGTGTCCACTTGTGTACATTCTTTTTGGCACCCCCAGTATGTATTTATATTCTCTTCCCTTCTAAAACACAAATGGGAAGTGTACCATACACACTTCTGCACCTTGCCTTTTTCATTGGAAGATTATTCCCTATTAGTATACAAAGAGATATAATTATATTTATAGCTGCATAGTATTGCATTGTAAGGCTGTATCAGAATTTATTTAACCAGTATTCTAGGGAAGGACAGTAACAGTGGTTTCCAAACTTCTGCTGTTTGTATATCCACTCCCAATCCAGATCACTTGGTGGGAGGGCCGCGCTCATTTGCATGCCTGCATGTGATTGGACAACCCCTGGCCCAGTCAGTTGAGGGAGTCCCTGGGTCTTTCTTTCTTCTTCTCACCCTTGGTGCCCACCCAGCCTCCCATGTTGGCTGCGGCCTACAGAGGTCACTGGTCACACACAGCCCTAGGACAAAATGACCATTCCTCATTATCACTGCATCCACAAAACCACCTAAAATCCTAACTTGAGCTGCTGCTGTCTCTATGACCATCCTCTGCTGAGAATGAAAGGCAGGGGTATACGAATGGGGCAGAGTGAACACACCTAACCCAGGACTAAAGTGGGACAACTCCTACTCCCCATATATGACAGACACAGAGGGACAGACAGGGGTTGTCCTCTCAAACTAGATGTCCCTTGCACTTTGAGATTTCCACAGGACTAGGGCTAGGAGAGGAGACTAAAGCTGAGAAATGAGGGCTAGAGGAACATTAGGGCAGAGAAACATCCGCTCAGGGCTGGGAGGGAAATCTCAGGATATAAGAATGGGTAGGAACAGGAGGAGGAGGCAGTAGGCAAAAGGAAGAGGAAAAGGAGGAGGGCTTGGATAAGAGGGAATATGGGCCAGGAAGCCCCTTCCAGCTCATCCATGGATGCATAAGCTTGGCAGGAACACAGCCCTGGGGTCTCTAGGGGACAATCCCCATTACAGAGACCCAAGGGGGGCGAGGGGGGGGGACTAGGGAGGTCAGGAGGGACCTGGAGAAGACCTAAAAAGATTTGGGAAAGCCAGAAAGACAAAAAGGTGGGGAGTTTTCTGTGGAAAGCTTGGCCATCACTCCAAGCTCCTGGATGGCTATTCCTCTCCTCTTTGGGACAGGAACTCAGCAGGTCTGGTGGCAACAAAGCTCAGACTCCCCTATGCCCCCTACCCCCAGCATCACAGGCTCAGGATGGTCCCAGTAGAGAGGGGGATGCAAGGGAGGGTCATGGGTGGAGGGGAACTTGGGGGAGGAGGAAGAGGGGACCTCAGGGGTGTGAGGAAGCTGAAGAGGACACCAGACTGCTCGACCTAGTGCCCACTTCTCCCCATACCCACATACCCTGATCTTGGGGCCCCGGACACATTCCCCACCCCAGGGACCGCCTAGTTGTGAGAGAAGCCCCCGTGAGAGAAGGCAGGGAGGTCGGGAGCACAAGCAGCAGCCTGGGGGAGGCAAGCCAGGGGGTTGACCTCGCAGGCCTTTGCATCCTGGTCCCCCCGGAAGTAGACGGAGTCAGCAGAATCAGAGGAGGGGTCCTGGTCAAAGAAGTTGTAGGGTCGGAGCAAGAAGCCCACTCCATTCCCCACAGTCCCCGCGTTGGGGATGTCCTCTGCATGTGGGATGTGCAGGAAACCGGCTGTCACCCAGGCCACCAAGTCCTAGCAGGGGAGAAGGGAGAGGATCATGAGGCCTGGCTTTG